CCCCGGCCTATGTTATCTGATGAATGAAGTGTATGTGCGTGTGCCACTTGTGGCATCTGCGCGATCCTCGCCATGAAGGGTACAGCCTACAATGCAGATATGCTTTCAACCCCACTGTGGAGTTGTTAAACTTAGCCAATCAAATTGTCTGACGTAAAGAGGTAAGTTAGGTTCGATCGTCGCAGTCTTGAGAGCTGCTAGTACTAGGTTGGGTAATGGCGAACTGCCTCCTGGTCTTCCAGCTTGGAATTTGGAAATGTCATGGTATCCACTTACGTAAAACCGAATCGTTGTTACTTCCCCGCTGCATTGAAGATAGGCTTTTGAGCTAAAGGCTTTGACTGGGGACCTCAATCATTATCCTGTACAGATCTGGTCGTCCCGGCGGCATCTGAGCCATCGTACAACCATGACTATCTTCTCAAATTTCAGCCACATTATGCATTGGCCGTCGCGCAGTTTTACAAGGTTTGCCTTATCTGCTGCATACAGCAGGAAAATAAGCGAAAACACCTCACTGCTGATGTCTCCCTCCTTTCCTTTCCAACTGTTGCTCATTACCCCTCCCGACCCCCAGTACAAACCTCACTTTTGTGATTCCCAGTTTAATAGACAGCAGCCGTAATGCCATTGGAGTCATACCACCTGCAACTATCTTCCCTCACAAGCCACTGGATAATAATCGCCAAAAGTCCCTTTATAAGGCCACCATGTCCCGTTTCCCAGGCAACATTTGTTATTCGCATTGAGACAAATGGTCCGACACGCCGCACTCGCGCGCACGTTGGACACTTTGGGTATTCACATGTGTTGCATGTCCGAACCTAGGATCAATGATTCTCAAGTGGTTGTCAAACTAACGGCACCTGACTTGTCATCTTGGTATTGGTTACACACATCCGGAAACGCTGGCGCGCTAATCACTGATCAAAAGAGGATAAGCATCGTTCTCAGCTCCACAGCTGTCACCGTTGGTGGGCTTGATTCCTGTGAGCAGTCAGTGTCCCGGCAACAACTAAGATTGATTCACGAAGTGGTACTAAAAAGCCACCACTAATATGCCGGTACGCAGTACTGAGACTCCGCTGCCATGCAATCACCACCAGTCGTGCGTGGGGTAGAGGTACCGCGAGGAACTTCTGGTTCACTACGCAGGTTCAAACCCGTGATCTCCGGAATACAAGGGAACCTTGTGATGCATTCGACCACGGGCCAGTTGTTTGTTTGTGGTTTCAGCTTATGCCCCCCACTGACTGAATGCTGACAAGGAAACCTGGTGGACTAGTAGCGCTCAGGAAATGGAGGAAGCAGGAACAGTACGCAACAATCGCAAGCTCTTCCAACTGATCCGCCTCACTGGTCCCAGAAAACCAGGCGTCAAAGAGACAATCAAAGAGTGCGGGTGCGCCAAGTCACAATAAGAGGCGACGCACGGCTGGTAGGACGGAATACTTTCGAGAGAAGTTCAGTTGGCCCCCTGTCCCCGGACCACTTCCTACTCAGGTGATGCAGGAGGAGTCATGGAAGTCTAGTGTACAGACTCCAGCGGAGGTTGAGGTCCAGAAACCCTATCACAGCCCTCAATTGTTGTAGTGCTGGCACGGTTTCCATCTCAACTGCACTATTTCAGGATGGTGGTGGGGTCCTATGTAAAACATTGACCTCCCTGTTCGAACAGGTCTGGAAGGAAGAAGCCATCCCGAAGGAGTCGATTATATTGGCAAAATGCAAGGGGGTAAGTCGCACTGACTGAGATAAAAATAACAAAGAAATAACGTATCAGTTGTACGCTGTAACGGGGCCCTGCTGCCGCGTGATCATCACCAGTCGCGTGTGGGATAGGTATGCCGCGAGGACGCCCGCCCCTAAACGGATTCCAACGGGTGATGTTATGGTTGTAAACCAGTCGCGTAGACCAATCGGCCACAGGCCGACTGTGATAACTACCTAAGTACTAGCCTAACGCCGGTGGTGAAAAAACTACTGACTGCAATTCTTGTTCGTGGCCCCACTGCGAAACGGAAATCCCGGATTAGGGAACAGCAAGGGAATTTCTGCTCAAAAAGGGCCGTAGAGACTAGATGGCAGGTGCTACAGCAGCGAAACACATACCGCAGACCAATCGTAGCTATATTCTTAGACTACAAGAATGCGTTTGACCTCCTTGATCAACCCATCCTGTTCGAGATACATGCGTGGAAAGGTGTTCCCATGAAATATGTGAGCGTTTTGCCGTAAAAGGGTCTACAGTGATATCTTGGATATCTTCCCGATAACAAGTGACTTTCGTCACGATTGCCCAATTTCCCCATTTTGGTGGAACTTCATCATGCACGCCATTATAAGGCGTTCCCTTGCGGAGCCTTGCTATGCAGGCGTTGAGGTGCTGCCTGGTAAAAAACTAGTTTACCTTGATTATGCGGACGATAGGGGTTTGCTTTTTAACGCGGCGACGCAAGCAACCCTGTGCAATCCCTTTATAGTGGTCCCATCATTTGGCATGCGCTTCGCACCTTCGAAGTGCAAAGTCTTACTGCAGGACCACCAGCTGCTTGATAACTCGTTGACCAGTGATGACAAAGAACTCTAGTTGATCACTTCACCTACCTCGGCAGCTGCGTCAGCAACGATGGGCGCATAGCAACTGAAGTCAGTGCAAGTATGGCAGAAGCTAGAAATGCCTTCTTGAATCTGTGACATCTGTGGCGTCAGATAGGGGTTTCACTCCGTCTAATAGGCCGTGTATAAATGGTCACAGTGAGGACCGTCCTACTCTATGGTAGTGAAACTTGGCCCCTCCGATCTGAGGACATGTGGCACCTTTACGTCTTCGACCATCGATGTCTGCGAAGAATTTCTGGTGTCGAATGGCACCAGCGTGTACGCAACGAGTAGTAGGCAACGATAATCAGGCTAGCAATATAGAACAGAGTGCACTGAATAAGTTGCGTTGGCTTGGGTACGTACCGCTACGCTTACTGAGGGTTTTGTTTTGTTTGCCAGAAGTAGGTTGGCGCAAGGTTTTCAGTGGACAAAAGACAAGCTGGCAACGAGAAATGAAGTCACTGACGACCTAACTAGGTGTTGCTGGTCCGTCTTACCCAGGCTAGAGATCGTATGATCCGCTTGTGATTGGCTCGAGACGTTACAGGACATGGCATACAGTCGGTACCAAAGACATGTTTGCTGGCCTCTCCTAGTCGGACTGCCTGTCTAAAGTGTGTTTGGCGCTGAGTTATCTGCGGAGTAATGGCTGATTATGATGCACGGCAGTGAAATCCGCAAGGAAGCTGTCTCGCTGATGCCGCCTTATCTTTGCAGGACAGTTAGTTGTTTGTGACGGTATGTTGTCTACACAATGTGCAGGCGCCTTGACCCTGAATGTTTGTTTAGGGCATTACGATTTTATGCTAGGTTCCGCTTCTCACCCTAATTACTATTCGTTCCGTAGGTCATCGTGGTTGCACGGCAGCGACATCAGTGCAAATGACTGATGTACTGCTATTGATGATGTTGATGCGTTCAGCATCGTGCGTTTGGTGCAAGAAGAGAAATCGGCCCGCTCAGCCCTGTTATCTCACACACCATGCTCCGATGGCCGAGCCACGTGTTGCTCACGTCAGCACATCGGCTTCTGCGACGTGTTTTGTTTGCGCGACCGGGTTATAGATGGAAGAAGACGAGTGGAGGTTAAGCAGTGACTTGATCGGGAGCTATGAAGAGTCTCACTTCGAATTTCGCATTGGTTGTTTACTCCAGACTGCTGCGCTGTGTCCACAAGGACGATGGACACATTTGGATGGATGCACGTTTTGAACTGGTGATGAAGAATCGACCTCAATGGCGTTTTTATCGTGAGTTTCTTTGTCTAGCCACCTCTAGTGTAAATTCTTCTTCCAACCATGATCTCACGCCCCACGCAGGATACAAAGCATCATGTTGTTTTTTGGCTATTGTATTGTACTCTGTAATGTTATGCATTTCGCTTTTTCGTGTATCTTATTTTTTGCGTTGCGGTACAATAGCTGAAGTGAATTTCGTACCTTCAATTAACGGGTAACGATGATGATGATGGCGTACACTGTCAGGAGTAGTGAAAATCTAAGACTCTACTTCAGATGTTGTCCCAGTGATCGGAATGACTGTGTCCCACTACAAAGTAAACGGAAGTTCCAAATGTTATCGCGTGTTACAGACTAGGCACATGACAGTATTCCAAAATCCAACACTGAAGTTGTGTTGACTATGACACGTGCAATGCATGCCCAGTCATCATGTATTCAGGAACGTCTTGTTTCGTTTACCAGATTTCAGATGGTGGGAAGCTAAAGACGGGTAAAATTTGACTTAGCGATCAATGACGAGTTAACCGAACGCTGTTGGTTCGTCTCGCCTTTCAGGTTAGAGTCCACGTTCACCACCTTGTGCTTGGGAACTAGATTTTACAGGACTTGACTCAGCCAGCAACGGTGTCTGATACCAAAGTATCTGTAGAGTGAGGTTGATAATGACAAGGGGAAAGGCTGTCTCATCGATGCCGCCTTATCCTTGCAAAATAGCTGGCTGCGTGTTAATGAAAAGGTGACTATGAATGTTTACTTGAGTCGGTTAGCTTTATCAATAGGTTCCTTTCTTGTTCTCCATAACCTAGGTCATTATGGTTGTATCACAGAAAGACAACAGTACAAGTTATTGATGTGATGGTGTCATTGTTGTTGTTTCGTAGTGACGCAGCTAATAAGTTTATGTGGAGACGCCGGAAGCGCTATCAAATGTTAGTGGCAGAGAGCAACAGGCGTAGGTAGTCATCGCGTTAGTGAGGTCGAGCTATTGCCTATTTAAAACCGAATACGAGCTGACGGTGGAAAATAGATAACGTTCATTGAGCTATAAGCCAACAGAGCAATGAGCTACTACTGATAACAAGCCAGTTTAAAGCTGTCGTAAACAGCAACAGCTGCTTAGAGCTTCGACCGGTTCGGATATCGAAAGTGACTCACTTCGCGTTCTGATTCGTTGGAGCGAGGAGGGCGATGACCCCGGTAAACTTGAGAAAAAGGGAAGCCACCATTGAAGAACATCGTAAAAACGTCGCCTACGTAAGTTAGTGAATTGAATCATAGACATACCGTCGTACTGGAAAAACGGGTCACCGTGTCGCCTAACTCGAGTGGGCCGCGGTAGTTGTTCCTCTTCAGTTCCAAACTGATCGTACCGACGGCGCTTTTCCGGATTAGTCAGAACATTGAGTGCAGTACCGATCTTCTTAAATGCCTCAGTGGCGCCCGGAGCACGGTTTTTATCGGGATGGAATTTCAACGCAAGCCTAGGATAAAAATTGACCAGAGGATTTACTTACGATTTGTAAGCACGCCGAATATCATCCTCTGTACTTTCCTTGGAAACACCCAACAGTTCGTAGTAATCCTTACAGGCTAACACTTTTCTGACAGCTTCCGCCTGAGCTCTGGTAAATGAAGAAGTCGACTGGTTATCGGAATCGTAAGCGCCATTGGATGGGTCAGTGCTAGTTGCAGGAGGCACCTCAGCTTTTCTGTCTTTCGACGGTGACCGTCGAGAGCCAATTAAACTCTCCAGGCCTGTAATAAAAATATTAAAAACGCGGTAACAACTCACCGGATGTATCTATCGAAGGGTACAGACGCAACGCCTTCAAAACAAACTTCCTCGCTATTTCCTTATTTCCCGAGGCCAAACGCGACCTAGCGATGGCGATACACTTCAGAGCTTCGTCCTTGTTGGCGTCCATGGGAAAAAATAGAACGCGTTCAAACCTAAATGTTGAGCCCTCCAGTGTCCAGGGCGTGAAATAGGTCACAATAGGCCTGTAGGGCTGTAATGCACAAGACATAAATATTCAACATCATTATTCATCATTCTACAAAATAGTTGGGTGTCAAAATACTCCAACTACTGAACCGCAATACTATTCAATTAAGTTGCAGTAAAAAAACAAAAGCATAGCACAAAAGCACGGCAAAAAAATAAATATAATGCGTTGTTTAGTTTTAGGCATTGGTAAAAAGACAGTTGTTGAAAGGGGTCACCAAACGGGATAAAGTGGAAGAAAATCTCGCAACAGACGCAATCGAGGTCGGATTCTAAGTCAATAAATGCCTGCAACCAGATTTGCCCATCGTCTTTCGCACGCCAACCAGAAAATCGAGAGGATTCAACGGAGATCAACTTCGAAATGAGGGTTGTTACTTCTTTTGATTAGTTCATTACTCGCCTCTGTTTATTCCATCCGTAACCCGGTCGCGCAAACATCGCACGCCTATGGAGCCTGGTGCGTGAGATAATAATGCTAAGCTGTTGAATTCCTTCTCATGCACTATAAACAAAACACCGAAAACACACTGCTACCGCAGTGTACACAATAGATGTGAGTTAAGCTGCGAAGGCAGTGATGATCGAAAATAATTAGCTTCTTTACGTCAGTCGATGTAATGGGTAGAGTTTGACAACCCTAGAGGAAGGTTGAACGGACGACTTTATTGTGGACTATATTGTTCAGGGCAGGAGTGATGTCTCGTCGGCACTAGGGCTAGCGGAGACAGTAAAGCACCTTGAAGTTTTGCCATACAGTCTGTGGTTTCATCATCTATTCCACAGGCTCAGTTGCAGCTGTCCAGATATTTAAATTGTTGGCCAACTTCTAGCTAATCTCTGTCAAGGCTCAGCACACGGGGTGGTCCCCACCAAGTTTGGAGGAAAGCTTTTTATTTGGATGGTGCAAAGCACAGATAGAAACGGCTGACAGTCCAAGCTAACCTGTCTACTGCTGCTTGGCAAGTGAGTGAGCTGTCACATACTAGACCAATATCCCCAAAAGACTACAAATCAAGAATTCGATCATCTGGGAGCAGCTCCACACCTTCCAGACTGTATCTAGCGAACGTAGTTTGCATGAATTCGTCAATGGCGAAGTAAAAAGTGGATAATAGCGGACATTCTTGTCTCACTCCGATGGAGATATTGTAAAGTGGTGACATCATTGTTATCATTATACACGTTAGCTAGAGGTGGAAAACACCTCAGCTACTGTGCCGCAATAATAAAAAGGTATCCAACAGAGACGTGCCAGCAGTAAGGGATGGGCATCGCTCCGGAGAGCTAGCAGCCGGCTATTGAGTCACAAAAAGGAATTATATGCCTAGGAAATTAAATCGTGGTTTGAGAGGAAGGGACAAAAAAACAAAACAAACGTCAATGAGGGCGGCTCCCCTTCATGTCAACAAGTGTATCCGACCAGAAGTGTTCATTGTCTCTCAGACCCAAACAGGGAGCCAAGAAGCACCAACCGAGACCAACGTCGAAGTAAAGGCCTTCATTGCTCTCGACCAAGTCATCGTTTGGCCACCTCCCCTCTTCTTGCATTCACACCTCGGTGCGCAAAAAACGCACGTCGTGGGAGTCGGTGGACTGACATACGCAACACGTAACCCAGCCATCGGGACCTGGAAAGTGAAATAACGGTGCCGAGCGGTTCACTTCTACTTCCTGTGCCATAAACAAGGCGTCGAATACTCACTGTTCATGGTGTTCCCACCATGGTTGGCAGCATCCGGCTTAGGATTTGCCTGTCACTGTGGCCAGCCACAGGAAGCCTGCGCCTACAGAGGGACCATGGGTGGCTTGCGCTGCATCACTCACAGCTCCATCCACACAGCCCATATCCAGTGTAAACCAGAAGGAATAAGACCGGGAGGCATGTGGATGGGAGCCACGTTTCATCAACGGAGCCGGCCCACAATCCTTCACAGGCGAACACAAGCACGCTGTATTTGGGGAATCAAGCGCACACAAGGCGGTGGCTGGACCGTAGTCCGCTCCACACTGAGTGCATGGAACCGCTCTTCGAGCCTAGCACGGCCACAAGGACTGGGCACCCCGTCCCCTCCAGCAACGACCAACTGTCTCCTGTAGCCAGTATGAACGAGGTAGTGGGTAACAGACAGGTAGGCACCTTGTCAACATGCACATCAAGCGCAGCCACACCGGGAATATCAAGCAACAGCCATTCACTTGAGACGACAAGATGAAATAAAATAAATCTAATAATGCATACAGACACGATGGCATAACTCTTCCCTACATTACCATATGAAGTAAGTTGGTTAGCAACGAATCCGCGATAAGTAAGAAATGTCCACAAGTTACTTAAAAATGCTACAAACGCAACAAAGTTACCGAAGATAAGCGCAATTAGCGCAAGCAGCGTGGCCAGTTAATAGAAGATTAATCAGGTAGGTGTTCCCACCAGATATGAGGCAAACTGTGAAGGCACTGATGGTCTAAGGTAACACCACTTTATGTCTGTCAGTCTAATGAACAAACTTTCATAACCTAGAATAAGATCGAAAGCACGGCTGCATTGCAAATGCTACGAGAGAGAGAGAGATGTCGCATCGGCGCCATAAGGGTCGAAGATTAGCAAAAGTGCCTCGAACATTTGCTATACGGTTGGTGACCTCGTCTTCGATTCCACAGTCGCTGATACAACTGTCTAGGTAGTTGAGTTTTTGAACGACTTCTAGCTGATTCCCATCAACGGCCAGCACAGGAGACGGTCCCTGTCAAGCTTGGAGGATAGCACTGCATGTTCAGGGTGCAATCATCATCATTACACGTTAGGTGGAGGTGGAAAACACAGCTATTGTGCCGCAATACAAAAGACAAGAAAAGGAAAACAGTGGCACGCCCGCTGAATCCCCAGTAACGGATGGACATCGTTCCGCAGAGCTAACAGCTGGCTGCCGTAAAAGAAAGTCATATTATGCCTAACGATTGAGATCGTGATTGGAGGTGGATGCTAAACAGGAGGGGGATGGACAAAGGAACTCACAACACAAGCGCCATTGGGGCCGGCTCCTAGCCATATCAGCAAGTGTGTCCAACCAAACGTGTTCACCGTCCTTAGGAACCCAGCCAGGCAGTCGGGATGCACCAACCGACGCCAACTTCGAAGTGAGGGTTTTCATTTCTCTCGACCGTTATCACTTGGCCTCCCATCCTCCTCTTCCAACAGCACTTACAACGCGAAAACAATGCACGTCACGGGAGTCGGTGTGCTGGCATGCGCAACAAGTGGCCCAGCCATTGGAGCCTGCTGCGTGATATAATGGTGCTGAGCGGTTCACTCGCTCTTCCTGCACTAAATACGCGACATCGAACACGCTCATTGCTCACGCGGTGCTACCACCAGACATCAAGCGGGTGCAAAGCAAAGCCTGAAAGGTCAGAAGTTTGTCAGAAATCCGAAACCAGTCTAACTAAGCGCGTAAAGCGCTCTGGCAATGTTTACATATGTATCGGGCACACCTTTCCTGATCAAACAGTTCCAAAGGGCATGTTGATTTACCAAATCAAAGACACCTTAGGTGTCGTGGAACACGACTAAGGTGGATAACAAATATGTGTGGCGATGCTCCAATAGCCGGTGAAATGTGAAGGTGTGGTCAATGTAGCCTCGACTTTGAGAGAACCCGATCTGATCTTTACTAATCTGGATTTAACAGGCGGTAATCTGTGGCGGACAACAGAGGCAATTAACTTGGAGGTGATAGGGATCATACTGCATACCTCTATGACTGCAGCATTCAGAGTTGTCAGTTGGTGGATAATGCCGACCGCCGCGTTTGAGCAGTTGCAATCGGATACATTAATGAAGCCGGCTCATTCTGTTGTAGGAAGTAGCCGCAGTAAAGTAAATCGATTAAGGGTAGTGCTTGCATACCTTAGGTGTGCAAATGGCAGAAAACACGCATTCCTGAACAGGATAATCATCTCCTATTGTAACACACCGACCGCTTGAATCTGAGGTGTTTTAATAAATTTTTGATGAGCAATTATTAGCAAACCATTGTTCGCGAAGTGTTACAAAAAGGCTTTTGACCTATTGTTAGTTAAATTACGCAACACTTCCGGAAAAATCAAGCAAAAAATGGAGAACGATCAAAACAGCCATGGCTACAAGAGCGGTATAAGGAGTGCCCCATTCCCTGCACCGGCAAGTAAACCAGGGCTCAAAATACTACAACGTCATCCCCCTGTTGCGACAAAATGTGATGAATACTTTTGACCACCGACCGAAAGGATTGCACGTCTGGCTTGCAATCCTTACGTCATCGGTTCGAATCCGCGTAGGGGCGGGGGTCCTTGCGGTATACTCAGCCCACGCGCGACCGCTCGCCAGACATGCGCAGGACGTGGCCAAGCCATCTCAACTGCTGCAATAGAACAAGCTCATAGAGCGGGAAATCCGTCTTGCCAAGGGCGCGTTGTCTGACATCATTATTGCGCACCCGGTGTCGCCACGATACATGGGCGATCCACTGCGGACAGCCGTTGTCGAACGCCGAAATCCTAAGCAGGTCGTCCACTCGGATCGGCCAGGATGGGTGTCCGTACAAAAGTATGGCGCGAACACAAGCACTGTAAATCCTGCCTTTTAGCAAAAGCGAGATGTCGTGACGATCCCACAAGTTTCTCAGATTGACAAAAGCCGAGCGGGCATTTGCGAGATGGAGAGACACCTCCTCTCCAATATTTCCGTCGGCAGATACTGCTGTCAACCTAAACGAAACTATCTACCAGCTCAAGCCGTGTTTTCGATGGCAAGCGTTCTAACAATCCTGTATCAGCGTTTTGCACTTTGAGTGAGTAAAGCAGTCAGTCAAAAATCAGTTGCCTATCATGAGGGTCGTCAGTGAACAAGGCGATATCATTAGTGTAATCCAAGTCGGT